TATATATATATATGCAGGTATATTATATAAAATAAATTATAAATTATATATTGGCCTAATAATTGTTACATAATGAATTTACACTCTGCGCCTCATGAGCGACTACAGTATACATGTCCTACATTGCCCTTCAAAAAGGTCCTGAGACAACTGAAGACTCGGTCTCTAGAGTCGAACCTCAGACAGGGTGCATATGACTTGACTGACCAAACATTCTTGGATTATCCTCCGAGTTCAACGACACAGCTTCCATTATTCAATGCAGATTTTTTTTTTACCGGCTAACCACATCAAGAACTATTTAGATTGACGCATGTGTTTTTGAAGTTCATCTGTAACTACATCAAAAAAGTATGTTTTAATATACCTATAGCAAATAATGTTCTAACTAGCCCAACATATAATTCCAGAATTATAGCAGATATGTATTTTTTTTAAACTGATGTGTACGCAATACAATAGGCCTACTTGAAGTTGATGTGTGGGCTAGAGGAGCCAAGGATCCTACATCGCGAAACCTGACAGTTATGACCTTCCTTTATTTTAACTTAAATCAACAGTAATCCAAAATACACCCTTCTCTCCTGCTATAGAAGATACCATTTGCTTGTCGTCTTGTATCATATTGCAAACGATTTTCATTAGATTTCTCCAGCGTTGTTTCTCCTCTACAAATCTGTTCAACACAATTTAATTCTCAGTAGGGTATTAATATCATTCTGTTGTTTGACTTAAACATCACGTGTTACTGAACATCATGACGTCCTTCGTCTTGCAAACAGTAAACTGACATGAGATCTTCCGCAACGGATAGAATGGAAGCTGTGATGACATATTTTGTTGGGTGTACGGTAAGAATGGCCCCGGAAAAAATGGCCCACGAAAAAAATGGCCCCGGAAAAAATGGTCCCGGTAAAAATAACCTCAAATGACAGGTAGGTAAAAATGGCCCCAATAATAAAATTCTGTATTAAAACAGTCCTGATTTAAAAAAAATCATTATATGCATTTTTTTAAACTGAAATAATTTAGTTTTTAAAAGGAATCTAACATCAAATAAATTGCCATTTACATTTTACTTTTTGCAGAAATTACATATTCAATGATAAAATATTCAAAAAATATTCAAATATTTCAAAAAAAAGCCATGAATAACACTTTTTATTTTTTTTTTTCGTTTGGGGCCATTTTTACCGGGGCCATTTTTTCCGGGCCATTCTTACCTACATTCATTTTGTTGGTGACTTGGCCTTCAAATAATAGGCCTAGACCTGGATTTGGTGCCAACTGATCAACCTATCGATATCGTTGTTTGGCGATGTCGACGATATGATGGTTAATATTAATAATAGTAATACTAATACTGTACATTTGAAACGATGATGATGACAATGACGACGAAGACGTGATTGTGGTGAGGGTGATATATATGATTTTGATGATATAGGCCCAGATGATAATGATGATGTAGGTCTACGATCACGACCGTCAACGTCATCATTACCTCATTTTTGTTTTGTTTCACATTCGCAATCAATGGCCACCTCGTGATTTAGACACAAATAAAAGAAATAAACACAAAAGGTAAATTATAATCGCAGAGTTGGAGAAAACAAACGCAAATGCAAATGCGAATATTGTAAAATATGATTTTAAATCACTTAACCTACCTGAAGTACTTGATAATTATTTTCTGTAAGTTAATGCTTACAAATAATGTTAGAAGGAGAGTAAGGTTTTATTTTACTCGGATTAAGAAGAACAAAATAATATTGTATTGCAAGATAATATACTGTACATTTTATTTCATGTATCACTATTATCTCAGTGATAAATGCATCACTAAAATTACTGCTAGCAGATTCAATAGACAGTTTTTTTTTGGAAAGTTAAAAAATAGTGCTCAATCTTTCTGTTAAAAAAAATCTTGGTCTACCGTAGCAGCATCATGTGAGTGTCGTAAAGTTGTCGTTGTGACGGCGTGATCGTCTTTTGCATTTGTACTCATTCGTAGTTTTTTAAAACAAACAGCGGCTGGTAAGTGTTATGAATTAATCCGCTACTTCTGAATAAGCCTATGTTACAGTAAATTGTACTGAACCTATTCGAAAGAATTCGATTATTAGGTGATACGCTGCTACAGCGTATCACATTGTTGTTCTTAAGATTTTTCTTATTTATTTATTTATTTATTTGTTTCTCCTTTTTTATTCTTTCTCCCATTTTTTGTTCGCTGCTATTCTCAAAAACGGCACATGTTCTATTCTTGTTATGTGGCTAGCAGATAGATGTACATCTGAAGTTTTGCGGGTGACGTCACAGTCACGTGGCGTCATCTACGCGCCTGTGAAATGTTATGATTGGTCATAAATGCCTCACCAAGAGGCATTTTTTAATGACACTTGATCACAAGCATACTTCATATTGAAGGGTCAACCTTTTGTATTAATCAACGTCTGCGCGCGCGTCATAACGTGCCCGTACGCGTACGTTAAAATTTCAAAATTCTCAAAATCACTTTTTGACTAAATTAGAGCACGTTTCATGCCATTTTGAGCATTTCTAAATTTTCTAAATTTTTTGTTCCGCGCGCGCATTTTTTTACGCGCTTAGCACGTACGGAAGCCATGAATTACGTTTTTTTAAAATACATATTTAAGTTTCTGACACTGTATTCACAAATTTCCGTTATTTTTCAGTCATTTTAGGGCCAATAGCAATTCCGTACGTGCGTATCGAACATACAAATCCGTTTGTGAAAATATGCCAAAATCATGCCTAATTTTTAATCAGTTATAGCGCCTTAGGATGCGTGGTAAACCCTCAATTTTTATTACATATTCTTAAAGCACATGAGTTGTAGATATGATTTATAGATCATAATGGCTGATCGGACATTGTGACGTCATCATATTGCCATCTGAATTCAAAAACTGAATTTTTATCTATGACGTCATTTGTTAAAATACTCATTTGAGCGTATCTCGCTTATCCTTCATCGATCTTCTCCCAACTTTGATTATGTTATAGCTGAGACAATTCTCTTTCATATATGTGACTTCTTTTTACATTTTGATGTCATTATGATGTGGTCAAAATAAATATTTTTCTGACCCCCTCATCTTTTTTTCTTCAAAACTTTGATGACCCTAATGATGATCCTAACCACTCGCCATTTCTGAATCATATTTAGTGGGCATAAACTTCAGGTCAGGGTTGAATGTCATGTACCTTAATTTTCTGTGCGTGCGTCATAGCGTGCGCGTGCGCGTGCGTTAAAATTTAAATACGCTTATTTTTTTTCAGTTATAGCACCTTAGGATGAAAGGAGACCCCCAATTTTCATTACATATTCTGAAAGCACATGACTTGTAGATATGATTTTATAAATCATTTTGGTTGATCGGATATTTTGACGTCATTAAATTTCCATCTGAATTTTAAAAAACTAATTTTTTATATATGACGTAATAATTTTTATACGGATTTGAGCGTATATCGCTTATCCTTGATCGATCGTCCACTCATATTTTCCTTTAAATCTTTGTGAAATTCTATGATTTATCATAAATCGACCTCCGCCAGAGAGCGGCAGACTGGTTTAGAACACTGACACAAGTATACTTCATATCAAAGGTCAAC